TTTTTTCCCAATTTTTTCCCATTTTTTCCCATTTTTTCCCCCAAAATTCCTGGTTTTTCCCATTTTTCCCATTTTCCCCCCTTTTTTCCCCCCAAAATTCCCATTTCCCCCCCCAAAAAATCCTACTTTTTTCCCATTTTTCCCCCCCAAATTCCCATTTTTTCCCGTTTTTCCCATTTTTCCCCCAAATTCCCAATTTTTCCCATTTTCCACCCCAGAATTCCCAATTTTCCCCAAAAAATTCCCATTTCCCTCCCCCAAAGATCTCATTTTCTCCCCATTTTTCCCCCAAAAATCCCATTTTTTCCGATTTTTTTCCCATTTTTCCCATTTTTTCCCAAAATTCCCATTTTTCCCCCCAAAATTCCCATTTTCCCCCATTTTCCCCTCCAAAAAATCCCAATTTTTTCCAATTTCCCCCCCCCAAAAATTCACATTTTCCCTCCCAAAAATCCCATTTTTTCCGGTTTTTTCCCGTTTTTTCCCCGTTTTTTCCCATTTTTTCCCGTTTTTTCCCAAAATTCCCATTTTTCCCCCCAAAATTCCCATTTTTCCTCACCGTCTCGCCCTTTTTCCCGGGGTTCCCGGGGTTCCCGGGCCGGCCCCGCTCCCCTTTGTCCCCAAAAATCCCAATTTCCCTCCCAAAAATCCCATTTTTCCCCATTTTTCCCCAAAAATTCCCGTTTTTTCCATTTTTTCCCAAAATTCCCATTTCTCCCCCCAAAATTCCCATTTTTTCCCATTTCCCCCCCCAAAAATCCACATTTTCTCTCCCAAAAATCCCATTTTTTCCCATTTTTTCCCCGTTTTTTCCCCAAAATTCCCATTTTTTCCCATTTTTTCCCCGGTTTTTCCCCAAAATTCCCATTTTTTCCCATTTTTTCCCAAAATCCCCATTTTTTCCCCCATTTCCTCACCGTCTCTCCCTTTTTCCCGGGGTTCCCGGGGTTCCCGGGCCGGCCCCGCTCCCCTTTGTCCCCCGGCTCCCCGGGGGGTCCCAACAGCCCCAGGAGCCCCGGGTGGCCCTGGAATGGGGAGAGAAAGCGGGAATTGGGGAAAAAACGGGAAAAAATGGGAAAAATGGGGAAAACGGGGAAAAACGGGAATTTGGGGAAAATGGGAATGGGGAGAGAAAGCGGGAATTGGGGAAAAATGGGAAAAATGGGGAAATGGGAAAAAATGGGGAAAAAGGGAATTTGGGGAAAAATGGGGAAAAATGGGGAAAAATGGGGAAAACGGGAATGGGGAGAGAAAGCGGGAATTGGGGAAAAAACGGGAAAAAATGGGAAAAACGGGGAAAAATGGGAGGAAAAATGGGAAAAAATGGGGAAAAATGGGGAAAAATGGGAAAAAATGGGGAAAAATGGGGAAAAATGGGAATTTGGGGGAAAAACGGGAATTGGAGAGAGAAAGCGGGAATTGGGGAAAAATGGGGAAAACAGGAAAAAATGGGAAAAATGGGGAAAAACGGGAAAAATGGGGAAAAATGGGAATGGGGAGAGAAAGCGGGAATTGGGGAAAAAACGGGAAAAATGGGGAAAATGGGGAAAAATGGGGGAAAATGGGAAAAAAGGGAAAAATGGGAATGGGGAGAGAAAGCGGGAATTGGGGAAAAATGGGAAAAAATGGGGAAATGGGAAAAAATGGGAAAAATGGGAATTTGGGGGAGAAATGGGAATTGGGGAAAAAAACGAGAAAAATGGGAAAAACGGGGAAAAATGGGGAAAATGGGAGGAAAAATGGGGAAAAATGGGGAAAAATGGGGAAAAATGGGGAAAAATGGGGAAAAATGGGAATTTGGGGGAAAAATGGGAATTGGGGAAAAAAATGGGAAAAATGGGAAAAACGGGGAAAAATGGGAATTTGGGGGAAAAAACGGGAAAAAATGGCGAAAACAGGAATGGGGAGAGAAAGCGGGAATTGGGGAAAAAACGGGAAAAAATGGGAAAAATGGGGAAAAATGGGGAAAAATGGGGAAAAATGGGGAAAATGGGAATGGGGAGAGAAAGCGGGAATTGGGGAAAAATGGGAAAAAATGGGGAAAACGGGGAAAACGGGGAAAAATGGGAGGAAAAATGGGGAAAAATGGGGAAAAATGGGGAAAAATGGGGGAAAATGGGGAAAAATGGGGAAAAATGGGGAAAAATGGGGAAAAATGGGGAAAAATGGGAAAAATGGGGGAAAATGGGGAAAACGGGGAAAACCGGGAATTTTGGGGGGAAACGGGAATGGGGAGAGAAAGCGGGAATTGGGGAAAAACGGGAAAAAATGGGAAAACGGGGAAAAATGGGAGGAAAAATGGGAAAAAATGGGGAAAAATGGGGAAAAATGGGGAAAACGGGAATGGGGAGAGAAAACGGGAATTGGGGAAAAATGGGAAAAAATGGGAAAAAATGAGAAAAAATGGGAAAAAATGGGAATTTTGGGGGAAAAATGGGGAATTTGGGGAAAATGGGAATGGGGAGAGAAAGCGGGAATTGGGGAAAAAACGGGAAAAATGGGAAAAATGGGGAAAAATGGGAATTTGGGGGAAAAAACGGGAAAAAATGGGGAAAACGGGAATGGGGAGAGAAAGCGGGAATTGGGGAAAAATGGGAAAAATGGGAAAAAATGGGCAAAAATGGGCAAAACAGGGAAAAACGGGAATTTTGGGGGGAAACGGGAATGGGGAGAGAAAGCGGGAATTGGGGAAAAAACGGGGAAAATTGGGAAAAACGGGAAAAATGGGAGGAAAAATGGGGACAAAATGGGAAAAAATGGGGGAAAATGGGAAAAAATGGGGAAAAAATGGGGAAAAACGGGGGAAAATGGGAGGAAAAATGGGGAAAATGGGAAAAAATGGGAAAAAATGGGGAAAAATGGGAAAAATGGGAATGGGGAAAAAACGGGAATGGGGAGAGAAAGCAGGAATTGGGGAAAAATGGGGGAAAATGGGAAAAATGAGGAAAAAATGGGAAAAATGAGAAAAATGGGAGGAAAAATGGGGAAAATGGGAAAAAATGGGGAAAAATGGGAAAAAATGGGGAAAAATGGGAATTGGGGAGAGAAAGCGGGAATTGGGGAAAAATGGGGAAAATGGGAAAAATGGGGAAAAATGGGAATTTTGGGGGAAAAATGGGGAATTTGGGGAAAAACGGGAATTTGGGGAGAGAAAGCAGGAATTGGGGAAAAATGGGAAAAATGGGAGAAATGGGAAAAAAATGGGAATTTGGGGGAGAAATGGGAATTGGGGAAAAAAACGGGAAAAATGGGGAAAATGGGGGAAAATGGGGAAAAACGGGAAAAAATGGGGAAAACAGGAATTGGGGAAAAAATGGGAAAAAATGGGAAAAACGGGAAAAAATGGGAAAAATGGGAGGAAAAATGGGGAAAATGGGAAAAAATGGGGAAAAATGGGAATTTGGGGGAAAAACGGGAATTGGGGAGAGAAAGCGGGAATTGGGGAAAACGGGAAAAAAATGGGAAAAACGGGAATTTGGGGGAGAAATGGGAATTGGGGAAAAAACGGGGAAAAACGGGGAAAAATGGGGAAAAAATGGGGAAAAATGGGGAAAAAATGGGGAAAAATGGGAAAAAATGGGGAAAAATGGGAAAAATGGGGAAAAATGGGGAAAAATGGGAATGGGGAGAGAAAGCGGGAATTGGGGAAAAATGGGAAAAATGGGAAAAAATGGGGAAAACAGGGAAAAACGGGAATTTTGGGGGGAAACGGGAATGGGGAGAGAAAGCGGGAATTGGGGAAAAACGGGGAAAAATGGGAAAAACGGGAAAAATGGGAGGAAAAATGGGAAAAAATGGGAAAAATGGGGGAAAATGGGGAAAAATGGGAAAAAATGGGAAAAAATGGGAAAAAATGGGAAAAAATGGGGAAAAATGGGAAAAATGGGGAAAAATGGGAAAAATTGGGGAAAAAATAGGAAAAATGGGGGAAAATGGGGAAAATGGGAAAAATGGGGAAAACGGGAAAAAATGGGAATGGGGAGAGAAAGCGGGAATTGGGGAAAAATGGGAAAAAAATGGGAAAAACGGGAATTTGGGGGAGAAATGGGAATTGGGGAAAAAACGGGGAAAATGGGAAAAAACAGGGAAAAATGGGGAAAAATGGGGAAAATGGGAAAAAGGGGGAAAACGGGAATGGGGAGAGAAAGCGGGAATTGGGGAAAAAACGGGAAAAATGGGAAAAACGGGGAAAAATGGGAATTTTGTGGGAATTTTGTGGGAATTTTGTGGGAATTGGATTGGAATTCTGGGAATTTTGTGGGAATTTTTGGGGAATTTTGTGGGAATTTGGGAATTTTGTGGGAATTGGGTTGGAATTCTGTTGGAATTCCAGGAATTTTGTGGGAATTTTTGGGGATTTTGGTGGGAATTTGGGAATTTTTTTGGAATTTGGTTGGAATTGGGTTGGAATTTGGGAATTTTGTGGCAATTTTGTGGGAATTGGGTTGGAATTCCGGGAATTTGATGGGAATTTTGTTGGAATTGGGTTGGAATTCTGGGAATTTTTTTGGAATTTGGTTGGAATTGGGTTGGAATTCGGGGAATTCTGTGGGAATTTTTGGGGAATTCCGTGTCTCACCTTCTCTCCCTTGGCTCCGGTGTTTCCCTTCAGGCCGGGGAGGCCGGGGGGGCCCTGCGGAATTCCGGGAATCAAATCCGGGATCCCGGAATTTCGGGAACGGCGACAAATCCCCCATCCCGGATTTTTTTGGGGGGGGGAACTCAGGGGGGTTTTTTTTGGGGGGGATTCCCAAATTTTTGGGATCCCAATTTTTGGGAATTTCCCATTTTTTTGGGATTCCCAATTTTTGGGATCCCAGTTTTTTGGGAATTCCAAATTTCTCGGGATCTTCCATTTTTTGGGATCCCATTTTTTTGGGATTCCCAATTTTTGGGATTCCAAATTTTCAGGGTTCCCAATTTTTTGGGATCCCAGTTTTTTGGGAATTCCAATTTTTAGGATCTCAGGGTTTTTGGGATTCCCAATTTTTGGGATCTCTGAATTTTCTGGGAATTCCCATTTTTTGGGATTCCCAATTTTTGGGATCTCTGAATTTTCTGGGAATTCCCATTTTTTTGGGATTCCCAATTTTGGGGATCCCAAATTTTCAGGATTCCAGATTTTTGGGATTCCAAATTTTCAGGATTCCAAATTTTTGGGATCCCAGTTTTTTGGGAATTCCCAATTTTTTGGGATTTCCAATTTTTAGGATCTCAGGGTTTTTGGGATTCCCAATTTTTGGGATCCAATTTTCTGGGAATTCCCTTTTTTTTAGATCCCATTTTTTTTGTGGATTCCCAATTTTTGGGATCTCAGTTTTTCTGGGAATTCCCCATTTTTTTGGGATTCCCAAATTTTTGGGATCCCAGTTTTTTGGGAATTCCAAATTTCTTGGGATCTTCCATTTTTTGGGATCCCATTTTTTTTGGATCTCCCAATTTTTGGGATCTCAGGTTTTTTTGGGATCTTCCATTTTTTGGGATCCCAGTTTTTTGGGATTCCATTTTTTTGGGGAATTCCCATTTTTTGGGATCCCATTTTCTGAGAATTCCCAATTTTTTGGGATCCCAATTTTCAGGATTCCAAATTTTTGGGATCCCAGTTTTTTGGGAATTCCCAATTTTTTGGGATTTCCAATTTTTAGGATCTCAGGGTTTTTGGGATTCCCAATTTTTGGGATCTCTGAATTTTCTGGGAATTCCCATTTTTTGGGATTCCCAATTTTTGGGATCTCTGAATTTTCTGGGAATTCCCATTTTTTTGGGATTCCCAATTTTGGGGATCCCAAATTTTCAGGATTCCAGATTTTTGGGATTCCAAATTTTCAGGATTCCAAATTTTTTGGGATTTCATTTTTTGGGAATTCCCCATTTTTGGAGATTCCCAATTTTTGGGATCTCAAATTTTTGGGATCCCAAACTTTTTGGGGATTCCCAATTTTTTGGGGGATCCCATTTTTTGGGATCCCATTTTTTGGGAATTCCAAATTTTTTGGGAATTCCAAATTTTTTGGGATCTTCCACTTTCCAGGATCCCATTTTTTTGGGGGGATTCCCAATTTTTGGGATTCCCAAATTTTTCGGGATTCCCAAATTTTTCGGGATTCCCAATTTTGGGGATCTCAGATTTTTGGGATTTCCAATTTTTGGGATTCCATTTTTTTGGGGATTCTCATTTTCTGGGAATTCCCATTTCTTTGGGATTCCAAATTTTTTTGGATTCCCAATTTTTGGGATTCCCAAATTTTTTGGATCCCGTTTTTTTGGGATTCCCAATTTTTGGAATTCCCAATTTTTGGGATCCCATTTTTTGGGATCTCCCATTTCTTTGGGATCTCCCAATTTTTTCAGATTCCAAATTTTTGGGATCTCAGATTTTTGGGATTCCCAATTTTTGGGATCCCATTCTCTGGGAATTCCCATTTTTTTGATCCCATTTTTTTGTGGATTCCCAATTTTTGGGATTCCATTTTCTGGGAATTCCCATTTTTTGAGATTCCCAATTTTTGGGATTCCAAATTTTCAGGGTTCCCAATTTTTTGGGATTTCATTCTTTGGGAATTCCCATTTTTTGGGGATCTCATTTCCTGGGAATTCCCCATTTTTGGGGATTCCCAATTTTTGGGATTCCAAATTTTTTGAGGATTCCCATTTTTTGGGGGGATCCCATTTTTTGGGAATTCCAAATTTTTTGGGATCTTCCATTTTCCAGGATCTCATTTTTTCTTCCATTTTCCAGGATCTCATTTTTTGGGATCCCAATTTTAGGTGGATTCCCAATTTTTGGAATTCCCATTTTTTTGGGATCCCATTCTCTGGGAATTCCCTTTTTTTTAGATCCCATTTTTTTTGTGGATTCCCAATTTTTGGGATCTCAGTTTTTCTGGGAATTCCCCATTTTTTTGGGATTCCCAATTTTTTGGGATTCCAAATTTTTGGGATCCCACTTTTTTTGGATTCCCATTTTTTAGGATCCCAATTTTTGGTGGATTCCCAATTTTTTGGGGATCCCATTCTCTGGGAATTCCCATTTTTTTAGATCCCATTTTTTTGGGGAATTCCCAATTTTTGGGATCCCATTTTTTGGGAATTCCCAATTTTTTTGGGATTCCCAAATTTTTGGGATCCCAGTTTTTTGGGAATTCCAAATTTTTTGGGATCTTCCATTTTCCAGGATCTCATTTTTTTGGGATCCCAATTTTTGGTGGATTCCCAATTTTTTGGGATCCCTTTTTTTTTTTGAATTTTTTGGGATCCCATTTTCTGGGAATTCCCATTTTTTGGGATCCCAGTTTTTTTGGAATTCCCAATTTTTGGGAATTCCAAATTTTTTGGGGGATCTTCCATTTTCCAGGATCCAAATTTTCGGGATCCCAACTTTTTTGTGGATTCCCAATTTTTTGGGATTTCCAATTTTTGGGATCTCTGAATTTTCTGGGAATTCCCATTTTTTTAGATCCCATTTTTTTGTGGATTCCCAATTTTTTGGGATCTCAGTTTTTCTGGGAATTCCCTTTTTTTCGGGATTCCCATTTTTTTGGCATCTCAGATTTTCGGAATTCCCATTTTTGGGGATCCCATTTCCTGGGAATTCCCATTTTTTTTGGCAGGAGGGAATTTTAGGATCCCATTTTTTAGGAATTCCCATTTTTTTGGGATCCCATTTCCTGGGAATTCCCATTTTTCTGGGCAGGAGGGAATTTTGGGATCCCGTTTTTTGGGAATTCCCAATTTTTTTGGGGGCAGGAGGGAATTTTGGGATCCCGTTTTTTTGGGATTCCCATTTTTGTGTGGATTCCCAAAATTTTGGGATCCCGTTTTTTGGGAATTCCCATTTTTTGGGGCAGAAGGGAATTTTGGGATCCCGTTTTTTGGGAATTCCCGTTTTTTGGGGTAGGAGGGAATTTTGGGATCCCATTTTTTAGGAATTCCCATTTTTTTGGGATCCCATTTCCTGGGAATTCCCATTTTTTTGGGGCAGGAGGGAATTTTGGGATCCCGTTTTTTGGGTATTCCCGTTTTTTGGGGCAGGAGGGAATTTTGGGATCCCGTTTTTTGGGATCTCTCACTCACCAGGGGTCCGGGGGGTCCGGCCTGGCCGGGGCTTCCCGGTTTTCCTTGTTCTCCCTAAAAAACACCGGGAAAAATTCCCTGGCCCCAATCCCTGAATTTGGGGATCCCAAATCCCAGAATTTTGGGTCCCAATCCCAGAATTTGGGGACCCCAAATCCCAGATTTTGGGTCCCAATCCCTGAATTTTGAATCCAAATCCCGAATTTTTGATCCCAATCCCAAATCCCGTCTCCCAAATCCCAAATTTTGCCTCCCAATCCCGAATTTTTGGCTTCCTGATCCCAGATTTTGGGTCCCAATCCCAGATTTTGACTCCCAATCCCAGATTTTGGGCTCCCATTCCCAGATTTTGGCCTCCCAATCCCAGATTTTGGGTCCCAATCCCAAATTTTGGGGTCCCAATCCCGAATTTTGGGGTCCCAATCCCAGTTTTTTTCTCCCAATCCCAGATTTTGGGTCCCAATCCCAAATTTCTGTATCCCATTCCCAAATTTTGGGGTCCCAATCCCGGATTTTGGGTCCCTGATCCCAAATTTTGGGTCCCAATCCCAAATTTTCATCTCCCAATCCCAGATTTTGGGCTCCCTGATCCCAAATTTTGGGTCCCAATCCCAGATTTGTGGCTCCCATTCCCAAATTTTGGGGTCCCAATCCCAAATTTTGGGGTCCCAATCCCACGTTTTGGGGTTCCAATCCCAGATTTTGGGTCCCAATCCCAAATTTTGGCGACCCAATCCCAAATTCTCATCTCCGGATCCCAGATTTTGGCTCCCAATCCCAGATTTTGGGTCCCATTCCCAGATTTTGGGTCCCATTCCCAGATTTTGGGCTCCCAATCCCAGATTTTGGGTCCCTGATCCCAAATTTTCATCTCCCAATCCCAAATTTTGGGCTCCCATTCCCGAATTTTGGGGTCCCAATCCCAGATTTTGGGTCCCAATCCCAGATTTTTTGGGTCCCAATCCCAAATTTTGGGGTCCCAATCCCAAATTTTGGGGTCCCAATCCCAGATTTTGGGCTCCAATCCCAGATTTTGGGCTCCCAATCCCAAATTTTGGGGTCCCATTCCCAAATTTTGGGCTCCCGATCCCAAATTTTGGGTCCCAATCCCAAATTTTCATCTCCCAATCCCAGATTTTGGGCTCCCATTCCCGAATTTTGGGGTCCCAATCCCAGATTTTGGGCTCCCATTCCCAAATTCTGGGTCCCAATCCCAAATTTCTGTATCCCATTCCCAAATTTTGGGGTCCCAATCCCGGATTTTGGGTCCCTGATCCCAAATTTTTGTCTCCCAATCCCAGATTTGGGGTTCCATTCCCAAATTTTGGGCTCCCAATCCCAGATTTTGGGCTCCCATTCCCAAATTTTTGTCTCCCAATCCCAGATTTTGGGCTCTCATTCTCCAATTTTGGGGTCCTAATCCCAAATTTCTGTATCCCATTCCCAAATTTTGGCATTCCATTCCCAAATTTTGGGCTCCCAATCCCAGATTTTGGGGTCCCATTCCCAAATTTTGGGTCCCTGATCCCAAATTTTTGTCTCCCAATCCCAAATTTTGGGGTCCCATTCCCAAATTTTGGCCAAATTTTGGGGTCCCATTCCCAAATTTTGGTTCCCAATCCCAAATTTTCATCTCCCAATCCCAAATTTTGGGCTCCCAATCCCAGATTTTGGGCTCCCGATCCCAAATTTTGGGTCCCAATCCCAAATTTTCATCTCTCAATCCCAGATTTTGGGTCCCATTCCCGGATTTTGGGGTCCCAATCCCAAATTTTCATCTCCCAATCCCAGATTTTGGGTCCCAATCCCAAATTTTGGTTCCCAATCCCAGATTTTGGGGTGCCATTCCCGGATTTTGGGGCTCCGGGCTCACCACGGCCCCCGGCAGCCCCCGGAGCCCCTCGGATCCCGATTTTCCGGCCGTTCCCGCTGCTCCCACGGCTCCGGTTCTCCCGGGGGCTCCTCGCGCTCCCGGCTCCCCCTGCGGGAATTCCGGGAATTCCGGGGGGGATTTGGGGGATTTTGGGAATTTTGGGGGGATTTGGGGGGATTTTTGGGGGGATTTTGGGAATTTTGAGGGGATTTGGGGATGTTGCGGGAAATTTTGGGAATTTTGGGGGGATTTTGGGGATTTTGGGGGAATTTGGGGGGATTTGGGGAATTTTGGGAGGATTTTGGGGGGATTTT